CTTCATGGCCTTTCCAAATATTGAAATGCCCCTAGTTTCCTTAAAATCTATCAAATTTTAAACTAATATTCAAGTATTTTCCAGAAAGGGTCAGGCCCATTTAAATAAAAAAAAATAAACTCAGTAAAACTATTGGAAAATAAATTTATTTTCCGGAAAAGTCAGGCCCATTTAAAATTTTAAAATCCTTAAAATCCTGAAAACCCTTAAAATTTTGAAAGCCCGGACCTTTCAATATTTTAAGGATTTTAAGGAATTTAACGCCTTTTAAATTTCTTAAAATCCTTAAAATCCTTAAAATCCTTAAAATTTTGAAAGAAAATTAAATTATTTTCCGGAAAGAGGCAGGCCCATTTAAAATTTTAAAAATCCTTAAAATCCTTAAAAACCTTAAAATTTTGAAAGGTTGGGGCTTTCAAAATTTTAAGGATTTTAAGGAATTTAACGCCTTTTAAATTTCTTAAAATCCTTAAAATCCTTAAAATTTTGAAAGAAAATTATATTATTTTCCGGAAAGAGGCAGGCCCATTTAAAATTTTAAAAATCCTTAAAATCCTTAAAATCCTTAAAATTTTGAAAGCCCGGGCCTTTCAAAATTTTAAGGATTTTAAGGAATTTAAGGCCTTTTAAATTTCTTAAAATCCTTAAAATCCTTAAAATCCTTAAACTTTTGAAAGAAAATTCAATTATTTTCCGGAAAGAGGCAGGCCCATTTACAATTTTAAAAATCCTTAAAATCCTTAAAATCCTTAAAATTTTGAAAGGTTGGGGCTTTCAAAATTTTAAGGATTTTAAGGAATTTAAGGCCTTGTAAATTTCTTAAAATCCTTAAAATCCTTAAAATTTTGAAAGAAAATTAAAATATTTTCCGGAAAGAGGCAGGCCCATTTAAAATTTTAAAAATCCTTAAAATCCTTAAAATCCTTAAAATTTTGGAAGCCCGGGCCTTTTAAAATTTTAAGGATTTTAAGGAATTTAAGGCCGTTTAAATTTCTTAAAATCCTTAAAATCCTTAAAATTTTGAAAGAAAATTAAAATATTTTCCGGAAAGAGGCAGGCCCATTTAAAATTTAAAAATCCTTAAAATCCTTAAAATTTTGAAAGCCCGTGCCTTTCAAAATTTTAAGGATTTTAAGGAATTTAAGGCCTTTTAAATTTCTTAAAATCCTTAAAATCCTTAAAATTTTGAAAGAAAATTAAATCATTTTCCAGAAAGAGGCAGGCCCATTTAAAATTTTCAAAATCTTTAAAATCTTTAAAATCCTTAAAATTTTGAAAGCCCGGGCCTTTTAAAATTTCAAGGGTTTTAAGGAATTTACGTAAGGCCTTTTAAATTTCTTAAAATCCTTAAAATCCTTAAAATTTTGAAAGAAAATTAAATTATTTTCCGGAAAGAGGCAGGCCCATTTAAAATTTTAAAAATCCTTAAAATCCTTAAAATCCTTAAAATTTTGTAAGGTTGGGTCTTTCAAAATTTTAAGGATTTTAAGGAATTTAAGGCCTTGTAAATTTCTTAAAATCCTTAAAATCCTTAAAATCCCTAAAATTTTGCAAGAAAATTATATTATTTTCCGGAAAGAGGCAGGCCCATTTACAATTTTAAAAATCCTTAAAATCCTTAAAATCCTTAAAATTTTGAAAGTCCGGGCCTTTCAAAATTTTAAGGATTTTAAGGAATTTAAGGCCTTTTAAATTTCTTAAAATCCTTAAAATCCTTAAAATCCTTTACAATTTTTGAAAGAAAATTCATCTTTTTCCGGAAAGAGGCAGGCCATGTAAAAATTTTACAAAATCCTTAAAAATCCTTAAATTCCTTAAATTTTGAAAGCCCGGTCCTTTCAAATTTTAAGGCGTTTAAGGATTTAAAAAAGGCCTTTAATTTCTTAAAATCCTTAAAAAATCCTAAAATCTTAAAATTTTGAAAGAAAATTAAATCATTTTCCGGAAAGAGGCAGGCCCATTTAAAATTTTAAAAATCCTTAAAATCCTTAAAATTTTGAAAGGTTGGGGCTTTCAAAATTTTAAGGATTTTAAGGAATTTAGCGCCTTTAAAATTTCTTAAAATCCTTAAAATCCTTAAAATTTTGAAATAAAATTAAAATATATTCCGGAAAGAGTCAGGCCCATTTTAAGAAATTTAAAAGGCCTTAAATTCCTTAAAATCCTTAAAATTTTGAAAGCCCCAACCTTTCAAAATTTTAAGGATTTTAAGGATTTTAGGATTTTTAAAATTTTAAATGGGCCTGCCTCTTTCCGGAAAATAATTTAATTTTCTTTCAAAATTTTAAGGATTTTAAGGATTTTAAGGATTTTAAGAAATTTAAAAGGCCTTAAATTCCTTAAAATCCTTAAAATTTTGAAAGCCCCAACCTTTCAAAATTTTAAGGATTTTAAGGATTTTAAGGATTTTTAAAATTTTAAATGGGCCTGCCTCTTTCCGGAAAATGATTTAATTTTCTTTCAAAATTTTAAGGATTTTAAGGATTTTAGAATTTAAAAGGCCTTAAATTCCTTAAAATCCTTAAAATTTTGAAAGGCCCGGGCTTTCAAAATTTTAAGGATTTTAAGGATTTTAAGGATTTTAAGGATTTTTAAAATTTTAAATGGGCCTGCCTCTTTCCGGAAAATAATATAATTTTCTTTCAAAATTTTAAGGATTTTAAGGTTTTTAAGAAATTTAAAAGGCCTTAAATTCCTTAAAATCCTTAAAATTTTGAAAGGCCCGGGCTTTCAAAATTTTTAGGATTTTAAGGATTTTAAGGATTTTTAAAATTTTAAATGGGCCTGCCTCTTTCCGGAAAATGATTTAATTTTCTTTCAAAATGTTAAGGATTTTAAGGATTTTAAGGATTTTAAGAAATTTAACAGGCCTTAAATTCCTTAAAATCCTTAAAATTTTGAAAGGCCCGGCCTTTCAAAATTTTAAGGATTTTAAGGGTTTTAAGGATTTTTAAAATTTTAAATGGGCCTGCCTCTTTCCGGAAAATAATTTAATTTTCTTTCAAAATTTTAAGGATTTTAAGGATTTTAAGGATTTTAAGAAATTTAAAAGGCGTTAGATTCCTTAAAATCCTTAAAATTTTGAAAGCCCCAACCTTTCAAAATTTTAAGGATTTTAAGGATTTTAAGGATTTTAAGGACTTTTAAAATTTTAAATGGGCCTGCCTCTTTCCGGAAAATAATATAATTTTCTTTCAAAATTTTAAGGATTTTAAGGATTTTAAGAAATTTAAAAGGCCTTAAATTCCTTAAAATCCTTAAAATTTTGAAAGGCCCGGGCTTTCAAAATTTTAAGGATTTTAAGGATTTTAAGGATTTTTAAAATTTAAATGGGCCTGCCTCTTTCCGGAAAATAATTTAATTTTCTTTCAAAATTTTAAGGATTTTAAGGATTTTAAGGATTTAAGAAATTTAAAAGGCGGAAATTCCTTAAAATCCTTAAAATTTTGAAAGCCCCAAACTTTCAAAATTTTAAGGATTTTAAGGATTTTAAGAAATTTAAAAGGCCTTAAATTCCTTAAAATCCTTAAAATTTTGAAAGGCCCGGGCTTTCAAAATTTTAAGGATTTTAAGGATTTTAAGGATTTTTAAAATTTTAAATGGGCCTGCCTCTTTCCGGAAAATAATTTAATTTTCTTTCAAAATTTTAAGGATTTTAAGGATTTTAAGAAATTTAAAAGGCCTTAAATTCCTTAAAATCCTTAAAATTTTGAAAGGCCCGGGCTTTCAAAATTTTAAGGATTTTAAGGATTTTAAGGATTTTTAAAATTTTAAATGGGCCTGCCTCTTTCCGGAAAATAATTTAATTTTCTTTCAAAATTTTAAGGATTTTAAGGATTTTAAGAAATTTAAAAGGCCTTAAATTCCTTAAAATCCTTAAAATTTTGAAAGGCCCGGGCTTTCAAAATTTTAAGGATTTTAAGGATTTTAAGGATTGTTAAAATTTTAAATGGGCCTGCCTCTTTCCGGAAAATAATTTAATTTTCTTTCAAAATTTTAAGGATTTTAAGGATTTTAAGAAATTTAAAAGGCCTTAAATTCCTTAAACTCCTTAAAATTTTGAAAGGTCCGGGCTTTCAAAATTTTAAGGATTTTGTGGTCCTTTTAAAATTTTGGAAAACCCCTAAATTCCTTAAAATCCTTAAAGTTTTGGAAGGCGAAAGCAGGACCGTCAAATAACGCATAAAGGTCCTACATACATACCCCTAAACGCCTATACCCCTAAGCTCCTAAACACCTAAACACCTAAACCCCTAAAGCCTAACCCCGAAACCCCGAAACCCCGAAACCCCGAAACCCCGAAACCCCGAAACCCCGCCCTAAACCCCTAAACTCGCTGCATCACTGCAGGCAAGACCCCTGAACCCTAAACTCTAAACTCTAAACTCTAATCCCTAAACCCTAAACCCTAAACCCTAAACCCTAAACCCTAAACCCTAAACCCTAAACCCTAAACCCTAAACTCGCTGGATCAGTGCAGGCAAGACGACCCTGGCCGGACCCTGGGGTCGCCGGGCCGCGCATGGAGGGTGTCCTGGGCGTTGCCCCGGTTGTAGGTTAGGGTTTTGGGGTTTAGGGTTTAGGGTTTAGGGTTTAGGGTTAGGGTTTTGGGGTTAGGGTTTCGGGTTTAGGGTTCAGGGTTGAACCCCCCCCTCCACCTCCAGAACGGTACCCCACCTCCATTTTCGGAGAAGCCTCCTTTGCTGCTTCGAAGTGGTTTGGTTTCCTGGGCTGTGGGGGTCTGGAGGACAGGGCGTCCGCGTTTAGGAGGGTTGAGGGCTCATCAAGCTTGAGATCGGCTGAGCCACAGGAAGTCAGCAGTTGCACGACTTGCAGAACGACAAGGTTCCTGGGCCGCTTTCATGTAGAATAGAGCAGATGTGGTCAGAGGTTTGAACTTGAAAGCATGTTTGCAAGCGGGGAAGATGTTTGCGTGCCGGAGTTTTTAGGTTCCACTGGCTGTTGCACGCAGCAAAGTACTCCATACTTTTCTTTGAGTCATGGCACGCTCTTCGTGGAAAGCCTTGAGCGTGGCTGCTGCGCTGGTCGCGTTGTACAACTTCTGCAACAGCGTGAGTTTTGTGCCAGGGCCGCTTCGCAGGACGGCTGCCCCAGTGGCAGCTGCGTCCGCAGCCGGCATGATGATGGCTCCCGCTGCTTTCGCCGATGAGATCGGTGACGCAGCGAAGAAGCTTGGTGATGCTTCCTATGACTTCGCAAAGGAAGTGGACTGGAACAACGGCATCTTCTTGCAAGCTCCTGGCAAGTTCCAGCCCCTCAAAGCGCTGAAAGCGATTGACAAGATGATTGACATGGGAGCGGCAGCAGATCCCAAGCTCTTGAAGGCAGCGGCGGAGGCCCATCACAAGGCCATCGGAAGCATCTCAGGTCCCAACGGCGTGACTTCTCGGGCGGATTGGGATGCGGTGAACGCAGCTCTGGGCCGCGTTGTGGCGTCCGTCCCCAAGGCAAAGGTCATGGACGTCTACAATGCCGTGAAGGACATCACTGACCCTAAGGTGCCCGCGTACATGAAGTCTTTGGTCAATGGTGCAGATGCCGAGAAGGCATACAAGGGCTTCTTGGAGTTCAAGGATGTGGTGGAAAAGAGCATTGGAGTTGATTCAGATCTAGTGTTGATGTTTTCAGAACTCGCCCATCGTTCTGTATTTGTGGGCTTCTCTACCTAGTGTTCTTCTCAACTTCTGCAAACAAATCCAAGGAACCAAGTGACCGCAGTCGGCGCTAAGGCCACTGTGCCCACTGGTGACAAGATTGGCACGGCGGCGAAGGCCCTTTCGGATGCATCCTACCCTTTCTTGAAAGAGGCGCAGGATTGCAAAGAAGAACAGTTGGGTCTGTGGCCCTTGCTATGTGTCATTATCTTTTTTGGAGATACATTAAAAACCTAACTTAGTTCCCATGCCATTCCCAGTTCCTAGCGACTTGCAACGGGTTGACCGAGCATGCTGTGTTGTTTGTGTGCGTGCCCTCAGGTGGACTGGCTGTCCGATGTTTACCTGAAGCCGCTGCCAGACACCACCGCCCCGAAGGTGATGAAGGCCATTGACAAGATGATCGTGATGGGAAGCCAGATGGACGGAAACCTCTTGAAGGCTGCCGCTGAGGCGCACCACAAGGCCATTGGCAGCGTCGACGCCAAGGGAGTGACGTCTGCTGCGGATTACGAGGCAGTGAACGCAGCTATCGGGCGCATTGTCGCATCAGTGCCGAAGGCCACCGTGATGGATGTGTACAACTCCATGGCCGGAATTGTGGATGGATCCATTCCCAACAACATGTTCTCCAAGGTGAACCCTCTTGATGCAGCTGCCGCTGCAAAGGGTTTCTACACCTTCAAGGATGTGGTTGCAGCTTCGCAGCGCTGATGAGAGTTTTTGGCCGCTACGGCGTCGAATTTTCGGACCCTTTGAGGGCCACAACTCTGAGTAGTTGTTGCCAACTTAGCTTTTTAACTGTACAGTGCAGTAGAATAGTAGAGTCGCTCGCGATTGATGACAATGCTGTGCCTTGAAGCGGTGTTTCACGGGCTTGAGATTGGCAGGCGCGGTGTTCAGATCTTATTCTTGCTTTGGTGTAGTGAAGGAAGGAGGGTGTCTGACAAAACTTGCGAAGATCCCAAGAGTAAGTAAACAGCTTTTCAGGAGAGGCTGCATTGCTCATGTTGCCCAGAGCCTAAGCCTGCTTCGAATGTCTCAGTAGCAAATGTTCGAGGAAGTGCTACTTTGCCGGAGTTTTTAGGTTCCACTGGCTGTTGCACGCAGCAAAGTACTCCATACTTTTCTTTGAGTCATGGCACGCTCTTCGTGGAAAGCCTTGAGCGTGGTTGCTGCGCTGGTCGCGTTGTACAACTTCTGCAACAACGTGAGTTTTGTGCCAGGGCCGCTTCGCAGGACGGCTGCCCCAGTGGCAGCTGCGTCCGCAGCCGGCATGATGATGGCTCCCGCTGCTTTCGCCGATGAGATCGGTGACGCAGCGAAGAAGCTTGGTGATGCTTCCTATGACTTCGCAAAGGAAGTGGACTGGAACAACGGCATCTTCTTGCAAGCTCCTGGCAAGTTCCAGCCCCTCAAAGCGCTGAAAGCGATTGACAAGATGATTGACATGGGAGCGGCAGCAGATCCCAAGCTCTTGAAGGCAGCGGCGGAGGCCCATCACAAGGCCATCGGAAGCATCTCAGGTCCCAACGGCGTGACTTCTCGGGCGGATTGGGATGCGGTGAACGCGGCTCTGGGCCGCGTTGTGGCGTCCGTCCCCAAGGCAAAGGTCATGGACGTCTACAATGCCGTGAAGGACATCACTGACCCTAAGGTGCCCGCGTACATGAAGTCTTTGGTCAATGGTGCAGATGCCGAGAAGGCATACAAGGGCTTCTTGGAGTTCAAGGATGTGGTGGAAAAGCGTATTGGCGTTGATTCAGATCCATTGTTGACTTTCTCTGAGTTCCCACATCGTTCTGTTTCTCTGTGGTGCTCCTATACCGAGCGTCCTTTTCAATTGAGTTCCTCAAACGCATCCAAGGAACCAAGTGACTGCAGTCGGCGCCAAGGCCACGGTGCCCACTGGTGACAAGATTGGCACGGCGGCGAAGGCCCTTTCGGATGCATCTTACCCTTTCTTGAAAGAGGCGCGGGGTTGCAAAGAAGAACAGTTGGGTCTGTGGCCCTTGCTATGTGTCATTATCTTCTTTGGAGATACATTAGAAATCTAATTTAGCTCCCATGCCATACCCAGTTCCGAGCGACTTGCAACGGGTTGACCGAGCATGCTGTGTTGTTTGTGTGCGTGCCCTCAGGTGGACTGGCTGTCCGATGTTTACCTGAAGCCGCTGCCAGACACCACCGCCCCGAAGGTGATGAAGGCCATTGACAAGATGATCGTGATGGGAAGCCAGATGGACGGAAACCTCTTGAAGGCTGCCGCTGAGGCGCACCACAAGGCCATTGGCAGCGTCGACGCCAAGGGAGTGACGTCTGCTGCGGATTACGAGGCAGTGAACGCAGCTATCGGGCGCATTGTCGCATCAGTGCCGAAGGCCACCGTGATGGATGTGTACAACTCCATGGCCGGAATTGTGGATGGATCCATTCCCAACAACATGTTCTCCAAGGTGAACCCTCTTGATGCAGCTGCCGCTGCAAAGGGTTTCTACACCTTCAAGGATGTGGTTGCAGCTTCGCAGCGCTGATGAGAGTTTTTGGCCGCTACGGCATCGAATTTTCGGACCCTTTGAGGGCCACAACTCTGAGTAATTGTTGCCAATTTGCTTTTTAACTGTACAGTGCAGTAGAATAGTAGAGTCGCTCGCGATTGATGACAATGTTGTACCTTGAAGCATAGTTGTAAGTTATATGGGCTTTAGATTGGCAGGCACGGTGTTCAGATCTTATTCTTGCTTTGGTGTAGTGAAGGAAGGAGGGTGTCTGACAAAACTTGCGAAGATCCCAAGAGTAAGTAAACAGCTTTTCAGGAGAGGCTGCATTGCTCATGTTGCCCAGAGCCTAAGCCTGCTTCGAATGTCTCAGTAGCAAATGTTCGAGGAAGTGCTACTTTGCCGGAGTTTTTAGGTTCCACTGGCTGTTGCACGCAGCAAAGTACTCCATACTTTTCTTTGAGTCATGGCACGCTCTTCGTGGAAAGCCTTGAGCGTGGTTGCTGCGCTGGTCGCGTTGTACAACTTCTGCAACAGCGTGAGTTTTGTGCCAGGGCCGCTTCGCAGGACGGCTGCCCCAGTGGCAGCTGCGTCCGCAGCCGGCATGATGATGGCTCCCGCTGCTTTCGCCGATGAGATCGGTGACGCAGCGAAGAAGCTTGGTGATGCTTCCTATGACTTCGCGAAGGAAGTGGACTGGAACAACGGCATCTTCTTGCAAGCTCCTGGCAAGTTCCAGCCCCTCAAAGCGCTGAAAGCGATTGACAAGATGATTGACATGGGAGCGGCAGCAGATCCCAAGCTCTTGAAGGCAGCGGCGGAGGCCCATCACAAGGCCATCGGAAGCATCTCAGGTCCCAACGGCGTGACTTCTCGGGCGGATTGGGATGCGGTGAACGCGGCTCTGGGCCGCGTTGTGGCGTCCGTCCCCAAGGCAAAGGTCATGGACGTCTACAATGCCGTGAAGGACATCACTGACCCTAAGGTGCCCGCGTACATGAAGTCTTTGGTCAATGGTGCAGATGCCGAGAAGGCATACAAGGGCTTCTTGGAGTTCAAGGATGTGGTGGAAAAGCGTATTGGCGTTGATTCAGATCCATTGTTGACTTTCTCAGAGTTCCCATATCGTTCTGTTTCTCTGTGGTGCTTCTATACCGAGCGCCTTTTTCAAACGATTTCCTCAAACGCATCCAAGGAACCAAGTGACTGCAGTCGGCGCTAAGGCCACTGTGCCCACTGGTGACAAGATTGGCACGGCGGCGAAGGCCCTTTCGGATGCATCTTACCCTTTCTTGAAAGAGGCGCAGGGTTGCAAAGAAGAAAAGATGGGTCGATGGCCCTTGCTGTTTCTCATTGTCTTTCCTGGAGATAAATGAGAACCCTCGTTTCGTTCCCATGCCATATCCATTTCCTAAGAGTGTGCAATGGGTTTCCTTTGCCCGAGCATGCTGTGTTGCTTGTGTGCGTGCCCTCAGGTGGACTGGCTGTCCGATGTTTACCTGAAGCCGCTGCCAGACACCACCGCCCCGAAGGTGATGAAGGCCATTGACAAGATGATCGTGATGGGAAGCCAGATGGACGGAAACCTCTTGAAGGCTGCCGCTGAGGCGCACCACAAGGCCATTGGCAGCGTCGACGCCAAGGGAGTGACGTCTGCTGCGGATTACGAGGCAGTGAACGCAGCTATCGGGCGCATTGTCGCATCAGTGCCGAAGGCCACCGTGATGGATGTGTACAACTCCATGGCCGGAATTGTGGATGGATCCATTCCCAACAACATGTTCTCCAAGGTGAACCCTCTTGATGCAGCTGCCGCTGCAAAGGGTTTCTACACCTTCAAGGATGTGGTTGCAGCTTCGCAGCGCTGATGAGAGTTTTTGGCCGCTACGGCGTCGAATTTTCGGACCCTTTGAGGGCCACAACTCTGAGTAATTGTTGCCAATTTGCTTTTTAACTGTACAGTGCAGTAGAATAGTAGAGTCGCTCGCGATTGATGACAATGTTGTACCTTGAAGCATAGTTGTAAGTTATATGGGCTTTAGATTGGCAGGCGCGGTGTTCAGATCTTATTCTTGCTTTGGTGTAGTGAAGGAAGGAGGGTGTCTGACAAAACTTGCGAAGATCCCAAGAGTAAGTAAACAGCTTTTCAGGAGAGGCTGCATTGCTCATGTTGCCCAGAGCCTAAGCCTGCTTCGAATGTCTCAGTAGCAAATGTTCGAGGAAGTGCTACTTTGCCGGAGTTTTTAGGTTCCACTGGCTGTTGCACGCAGCAAAGAACTCCATTCTTCCATACTTCCCTTGGAGTCATGGCACGCTCTTCGTGGAAAGCCTTGAGCGTGGTTGCTGCGCTGGTCGCGTTGTACAACTTCTGCAACAGCGTGAGTTTTGTGCCGGGGCCGCTTCGCAGGACGGCTGCCCCAGTGGCAGCTGCGTCCGCAGCCGGCATGATGATGGCTCCCGCTGCTTTCGCCGATGAGATCGGTGACGCAGCGAAGAAGCTTGGTGATGCTTCCTATGACTTCGCGAAGGAAGTGGACTGGAACAACGGCATCTTCTTGCAAGCTCCTGGCAAGTTCCAGCCCCTGAAAGCGCTGAAAGCGATTGACAAGATGATTGACATGGGAGCGGCAGCAGATCCCAAGCTCTTGAAGGCAGCGGCGGAGGCCCATCACAAGGCCATCGGAAGCATCTCAGGTCCCAACGGCGTGACTTCTCGGGCGGATTGGGATGCGGTGAACGCGGCTCTGGGCCGCGTTGTGGCGTCCGTCCCCAAGGCAAAGGTCATGGACGTCTACAATGCCGTGAAGGACATCACTGACCCCAAGGTGCCCGCGTACATGAAGTCTTTGGTCAATGGTGCAGATGCCGAGAAGGCATACAAGGGCTTCTTGGAGTTCAAGGATGTGGTGGAAAAGCGTATTGGCGTTGATTCAGATCCATTGTTGACTTTCTCTGAGTTCCCACATCGTTCTGTTTCTCTGTGGTGCTTCTATACCGAGCGTCCTTTTCAAACGATTTCCTCAAACGCATCCAAGGAACCAAGTGACTGCAGTCGGCGCCAAGGCCACGGTGCCCACTGGTGACAAGATTGGCACGGCGGCGAAGGCCCTTTCGGATGCATCCTACCCTTTCTTGAAAGAGGCGCAGGGTTGCAAAGAAGAAAAGATGGGTCGATGGCCCTTGCTGTTTCTCATTGTCTTTCCTGGAGATAAATGA